ACAGGAATGCTTATTCTGTTGCTTATTCTGTATGGATTTTCTGTATGCACAAAAGCTGGTCAGGTAAGCAGTAACATTAATTATTAATTAGGTGGTTGGACTGTTGTCGCTATGTCCATAACAATTACAATAAAATTATAATTTCTTACTCCTCTGTTTTCACTTAATTTAGGTCAGAGTTTTATTTTCCAATTTTTGTTCTTCACTATGATAGAAACCACAAGAAGTAAATCTGTTGTAAAACCCATGTGAAGTCTAACTGACAGTCAGTCCGTGAAGTAATACTATTTTATGAAATCACTTTATAGGTAAGAGATTTCCAGAGAGACGTATACTAACAAAGAATAGGTTGTTTCCGTCGTTAAGGGCTTAGTGAGATATTCACTTTATTTTAAAGGTCATTTGTAAATATTAATCGGAATAGACCAAAAAAAACATGGAAACGGTGGCATAAAGTCTTGACCGACAGTTGAACTTACGGAGTGATCAGGTTTTCGTTCAAATCACGATAATGCAGAAGTACAGTAAGACGGAACTGTCTATAGAGTTGTGACATATATATATATATATATAGTTGTTTCTGAGTTTTGTAGAAACCTATATCTTACTGATTACTTTGTCATGTGTGCCGTGTTTTGAAACTTTTGAAATAATTCACTTGATTTTGAAAACTTTCCAGGATGTTTCAGCTCATTTGCAGATTAGTGAAAATAATATTGCACCTAATTATGGAAATTACAAATGCAAATTATACGTTGAATCGGTGTTTAAGCAAACAGATAATTTCTCATCAAGTTTTACAATTATAGATTAAAACCATTTGGCGAAGGCATTTTATACAACCCTCTGAAGTGTTTTAAGCGAAAATTGTTTTATTCAGTACGTTTCAATGAGTATAGGGTCAAATACAAAGGTTATATTAATAGGCGGGGGTCAGTAGGAATATATTTAGGTTAGTAGGTACTACTGACATAAGAAATTTAGAAGAAGCACTTAGTTGTAAATCTACGGATAGTCAGGTACAGCATTACTGCTGGATGGAATGAAGTGACAGTTGTAAGAATTTATTATAGCGGGGTGGAAGGCACAGATTGATTTGCTAAATCGACTGGTAGGACATCCGATAAGAATGACTCAGAGATTGACTTAGATATCTGGATAAATCTTCTGTCCCTCTGACAAGCAGAAGCGTAGTTGCAGAGTTACATATGATTTAACTATAGAAAACAAACTATCTTTAAAATGTCATTCAGCTGGTAAAATTGCTTCACTATGTTATCTATCTAATAAATAACTGATGTGGAACTGGATCTTATGTATAGCTTTGAAGGACTTTTCGAACGGAGTACATAGTTTGATAAGGAAGTGTATGCTACCCTAATGACCACATTTTTCACTCATGTCTCACTTAGTGTAGATGTCTTGTCCTTGCATAAAGTTGCGGCTTTTAATCTTAAGCTATTTAAGACCATAAAGTTTTGAGGAATAAAAACTGAAAGCTCTTTCAATAACTTTAACTGAACTGTATCGACAACTTAGTTTCACTTCACAAATGAAACTTATTAGCGCGCATTAGCTTTCAATTCTATAGAAAAAGTTCTGTTCTCTTCGTTTTTTTCTCGAAAAAGGTGTAAAAGTTTTCGAATTACTTTAACTATTTAAACACTGATTAAATCAAATATGCTTTGGATTACAGAAACCAAGGAACTGCCAATTACAAAAAGTGGTCATAAAAGGAAAACTTTCCATCTTCCAGTTGAAATGTCATAATAATGATAATAGATTCTAAATTGAGAGTGAGGCTGTTTGAGATAACCTTGGGTTATTTATTAGGTTCTCTTGGGTTTCAGCAGCATATCCCCATTTCCCTCTGTTTCCCCGCAGTCTTATTAGCTGGCTGTCCATAGGCTTTCATTACCTCTTCAATAGACCCTCCCCGATGTCAACCCCAGACTACCAATTCATCATTTCTCTCTTGGTTTCTACTCAAGTACCTGGTTAGTGGACTGCTGTCGACAGAATTTTTATTGATTGAAGACGGGATAGAAATCCATATTGTTTCAGGATTCAAACTAACGACCTGTGAATTATTAATACGACTGTCTACCAGCGAGACTACGAGATCCACCTACTAACGGTAATCAGTTATTTAAGCATGAGTTCAACGTTTTGTTTCATTTGTCTGCATTATATGTTATTTATAATTATTTTATTCCTTTGTGTTGCTAGGGGAACATAGGGCTTCAAGCTAGAGCTTTGACGTTTCGGTTGCAGTGGTTTTATTTTTACGGGGTGGGGTCGCTAGTCTCACGCCCAACCTTCCTTCCTTGCCTGGGTTATTACCAGCTAAAAAGGGATTCGGGAGTGCATCGGCCAGGGATTGAATTCCGGACCAACTGAGTGGCTGGCAAGCATCTTACCTCTGCGCCACTAACGTACTGCGTTATATATAAATATGCATGTTTGCAAGAGTTCAATGCAGTTATTTTTCGGTACCTTATAAACTTGTTTCATTCATATATAATAAAAATTAAAAAATGTCTATCGTTTATTATTTCAATTTCTTAAATAAATTTACTTTGTTTCATTGATAAAAAAGCTAATTGAGATGATACTTGATTAGAAAATAGTATAAGTATTATTGTTATTATTATCATCAAAGGGTAAGCACTTGAACTCTTTCTACAAACTTTGAATTCTACAATTCAAAAGTAAAGTCCTATTTCTTTCTCTAGCTATTTCATTTTATAGACTATAAAAAACATATTAGTAGTTATTCATTTTAGAAATAATCAAATAAGGTCAGTATGGTGAATTGAGAAATTGTGAGAATAAAGCGAAACTGAAAGAAAAACCAGACAGACAGACAAACTGACAAACAAACAAACAAACAAAACCTTCATTTTTATCCAAAATTCATATAAACGTCTGAAGTAACAAAGGTGTTAATTCATTGATTCAAATTTCGGTGTCTGACCAATGTATATATATATATATATGATACTGTAAAAAGATAGCATTAAAACAATTTTAATCATAATGAATACAATCAAACAGCAATAGCTATATTTTAATTGACTTTGAGATTTTCCCGTCGATTGATTAGACCGAAGTGCTCGGTCTCAGGTTGACATATCGGCTCCTCCTTGTGCAGATGCTTCAACGGTTTCTAGACATTTAATTAGAATTTAATTTGTGGATGGTGACTAGCTTTGGAATCCAGAATACGCATTTCGTCCTTTTTATGACTTGTCAGCCGGATGTACCTGCATTTTCCAGTGAGCATTGACGTTCCCACCGAGGCTCGAACCCAGTGCCCATAGTTTCAAAGCTGACGAGTCCCAAATAGGACAAATTACGCATCCTCACTTCCACTGCTAGTCACCATCCAGAAATTAAATTCTGATTAAGTGCCCAGACATCGTTGAAGCATCTGCACAAGAAGCCGACATGTCAACCTGAGATAGAGCACTTTGGTTCAATCAGTCGACGGGAAAATCTCAAATTCAATTAGATTAATACGACCCGTTGCACAAGAGGTGGCTTTCGAGGCCCAAGTGGTCTAAAGGATAACTCTTTGGCGTTGGAAACTATGTGCACTGGGTTCGAGCCTTGGTAGGAACATCATCGCTCAGGGAGAAATGCAGGTACATCCAGATGAGGGATCCCGAATAGGAAGAAATTGGCATCCTGGATTTCACTACTACTCACCATTCACAAATTAAAGCAATAGTTATATTTGATGACAGTTACTGAAAAAAGGAACACAAATGTACTAATTGACAGAATAAACACATGTTTGAGTAATTTCTTTCAGACATATCGCATATCACACTAATTATTAAAGACTAAAGTTCTTGATTTTGTTCTATATTCAGATGATTCATATATAAGTACTTTCTGCAAGAAAAGTTTGTGAATATGCATAACGCCACACACTAATAGTTGATTGATGTGATCAGTTGGATTCCACTCAAATCAACCAGTGGTGCTGGATATCAAAAATCAAAGTGATCTAAATATCGAGTGGCTGTTTCAAATAATTGAGTCACCTCAATTTACCCCGATATTTCAAAATACTTTAACTGGTCCTCCTAGAACACTACGTCACCCAAAGCTTTTCTCCTGAGAAAACGATTTAAAAAAACAATTTTAATAGTATGAGTGAAAGTGGATTAATTTTACTAATTTCAAAGCTACTAGAAGAAGTCCGAAATAACTAGCATTGAAGGCGTATACTGTGATGCAACGGTAAACTTAAAGTAGCTATCTGAAAACTGTTATGAGACGGCCAATCCCAGAAAATCAAAATATGTGATAGCGAATGCAGGCTAGAATAAAATAATGCATAAACAGTCTATAAGGGAGTAAACAGTTCTAAAGATGATTTACTTGATTCATTCATAATTCTAATAATTTGAATTTTCAAGTTTTTATTACGAGTGGGACAGAAGACTTGAAACTTTAAGGCTTCAGTAGTGGTGGTGTCTCCTTGATGGAGTAGGATTGGTAAGCAACTCATGAACGTACCTTTTTTATGAGCGGACTTCGGAGTGGTCGAGCTTTGAGCATGAGTCGGCTGGAAATCGTATCTAAACCTTCTGTATGACTTCGTAGCATTCTACATAAAATATGACTAGCTCAGTAGTAACGTCTCTGACTGAAACACTGGGTGTGAATGTTTGAGTAGATATCATTTCCTTTGAGGCTGCAGATACACCTTGTTGACAAGTGTCTATTAGCAAGGAGTCTAACCTTAAGGTTTCATTTTGATTATCTCCAACCATCTAATAGTAATTCAGAGTGTTCGGCGATTGTGAATCTGTTAACTTGGTGACTGTACAACAAACCCTATTGACAAAATTCAATTAGTAAAACACTAGAGACTAGACATATTTCACTCCTTATTCCTCTGTGATCAGTCAATGTAGTAATCGCGTCATATAAGTGGACTAATAACTTTTGTTAAAAAGAAAGAATCCATAATGTATATGAGGAAATTATTTTATTTGATTCATATTCTTACACATACATAAAGGTGAAGATAATTAGTAGCAGCATATCGACTGACAACTATATTTTAAGTAATTTTGTTTACAGCATTTTACTGTTAACTATTCAGAAACTTGGAATATTTTTATTAGATTTTCTGACAGCTGGAGATTGACTTGTGAATCAAATATTATTCTGACTCTATACAGTTCAAATGTTTATCTAATAGACTTTAGAGTTTAACTGACAGGAATAACTAAAACAAACAAAAGGTAAAACATCAGGTTGATTTAAAGGATTAGTATCAATATAAACGAGTACAATCATAATAAAATTCTCAAGCACAATCAGTCAGCGTCATCATTACCAGGAAAGATAGGTGTTTTATCCATAAAAAATTCTCAAAGCTAACTTCATATACATCTGTTTTCCAGAAGGAGTAAGGATCTTCCCAGTTAAACCGTTCAGCTCACCGAACACAGTGAGAAATCTCCATTATCAGAAGTAATGCATATAACATTTACTAAAAGTTATTTTAAACTCGTTTCATATATATTTGTACCACAGTTAGTGTTTGAGAAGGACAAGTTGTTTTTGCTTTTGTCGAACTTGGTGGTGAAACTAGACAATCCTTTAATTTTGACGGGTGAACATTTGACCGTGGATTGCTATTTTTGTATCAATATTCACCAGTGTGCTTATCTTGAGTTACTTTTGTTTGACCTGGTATCCAACTTTTATTTACACTTAATGTTAGTAGAAATATCCATCTAGTATTACAATATAATTCAAGAAACAGAATTGACTTCCATAGTCCTATTCTTCATGTATTCTTTAAACGTTTTTATAACATTTTCTGATTCCCTCTGATGATGCATGATCGTATGAAGAAAATCATATTCGATAATTGGTTTCAAATTTCTTTTCTTATTCTTTTCTGACATACCATAGTACCAGTTAGATGTTGTCAATTCACTGACATTTTTCCGTGTATTTACATTGATTTGCAATAACAGCATAATAATCACATGAACACATTTATCAACTTTGAAAAGTATTGGAGCATTTAACTGTGGTGAGCTTGTTTTAATATCCTCCAAGAACGTTAGCATATCTTTATGCTGTGTAAATGGAAGTTTACCGGTTGTCAACAGATGCATAATAACACCAACAGACCAGAAATCCATTGCAGGAGATTTTAAACTCCACAATTCCTTCATAGCATGATAAATGTTCTCCACTGAAGTTGAATTGAAACGTTGAAGTGAATTCAATACAAGGTTAACATATTCTGGTGACATGTAGATAAACATTTTGGTTATATTGTTAGTCAATATATTGATTTCTGTCAGTACACTGAAATCCATTACTAATGACACTGAAGATGGATTGTCTGTCTTGAAGAATATATTATGCGGTTTAATATTTCCATGAACAATCTTCTTACTATGTAGATAGTCAACAGCAATACTTAAATATTGAATAGTCTGACAGACATCTTCAACGCTTAATGAATTTCTTTGTTGAAACCATTCGAAAAGATTCCCATATGAACAGAAATTCGTTAGAATTGTAAATTTCGTTTCATCTATCCCGATAGCATAAGATATGATGAAATCTCTATTCATTGTAAATTGAGATTCTTCAAATCGCTGTAATAATTTTAAACGGAATATATTTCTCAGTAATATTTTCCAAAATTTTGTAATTGGCCAATGGCTGACATTGAATTCTTTACAGACAACTTTTTTATTCAATGGGACAATAACTCCCCATCGATATGAGGCGAATTCACTCAGTTGAGTAGCACCGAATGCAATTTTCAATATAACATTCTCCATGTTTATTTCTTGTTGTATAACAATATGAACAGTCGGATTCTAGAGAGAGAGAGAGAGAGAAAATGTTGTTTACTACGAGGCTATATATACATAAACAATATGAGTAATAATTCGTCACATGTATTACCTGTGAAGATATACACAAAACACACAGAGAGAGAGAGAGAGAAAACAACAAAGACTCATGTGACGCCAAACTGAATGACAGTGTTATTATTATTACTATTATTATGTGTGGTGTTCAATAAAGTAAAGGCACGTTTTTAAAAACATATTGAGGCAACATGCGTAAATTGAGCATACCCACTTTTATCAATTCAATAGAAGGAAGTTATTGGTGTTTATTTTGAAAAAAAACACACAAAACAAACCAAAACAAATTGTGTAATGTTTATACAGATAAAAGTTATTTCTCTATTTTTCGCTAAATGTATGTTGGGTCAAATGATAGTCATGAAATTCCATCATTAAAATAAACCACATCAAAAATGTATTCATGTACTCAACCTATCCACTATCAGGTGATGTAAGTATATTTTTATTTTGCTAATATGAAAGTATATGTCTAATTGATTGACTTTAATTAAGAAAAGCACTATTTTGTGGTATGATTAAAGGTGCAGACAAACTTGTGTATTTATTTTCAGTTATACTAGTAGACATTAGAAGTATTTTCGTGAACACTATGCACAAGTAGAGTTGACTGTCAAACATTTAAACAGTGTCAGAATTTGACTGTCTGTTTCTAGGAAGCACGCACCACACTGTGAAACAGAAAGATGAGTTGCACTACACGAAGCAGAGTGTTTACAAACACACAATTTCATCAACAAGTATGTCAAGAAGGAATGTGAGAATCCAGATATACTTACAAGATATAATTACAATTATATTTACGAGATATAATTACCAGTTAGAAAAACTGATTTTCAGTCAACTTGACCTCAAAAGGCGTGTAGATATTATGAGAACAATAAATAAACCTTTAGATGCAACACTGATCATGACGTATCTTGCAGAAAAACTAGTCTGTCTCTTCTGAACATCTTGTTTGTTAGCACAGTCAGAAATCGACAGACACCTTTCATATGTTACTTCCAAGTCTCTATATCAGTTCGCGTGCATCTATGGATCAGTCACATTGGGTGAACTGAAAGAATGGCCTATGTCAGATTCTTTTAACATGTACCAAAGAGCCTTCGGTGAAAGGGACGAGGTAGTTTGAACTTGTCAATTACCAAACATGTGATACACGCAGGACGTCAAGTGAACACATTGGGAGCATTCAAAGTAATTAGTAGATAAAAAAGCCCTAGGTCTGCTTCGATTTGCTGAAGCAGTGACAACAAAATGGCTGGAGTCTGACTTATATGCTAAAAAGGAATACGATGTGGGAATTCAGTTGCCCTGGTAACTCTCTCATCAGTACCTCTTTTTCTTCACAATTCAATAATTTGTTCCTCTTATTTCTCCGTAGATTTCATTTTAGACTTAAGTTTTGATCTTTTGAATTCTGATCACATTGCTACAGCATCATCTTTTCATTGGATCTTCTAAGTTTTACTCCCTATATTTTATTATCTTTGTTTACGGACTTACTACTTCCTTACCACCACCCTAACAAGAAATTTATTTACTTATTTTTTACGAGGAATGTGATATGTATCCCCATGATGTGTGTTTTGTTTTTGACAGTCTGTTATATTTTGCTATGTGTATATGGATCGATACTCCATTATAACTGACATTATGCTTTTGTCTGTCCACTAACTAAATAAACATGTGAGATCTTGTTGTCACATGACATTACAACCAATCATGTTAAGACTGTCTATTTATTGGTTCATGTGTATTAGCCATTTTCATATATACTCTTGCTTTGTATACTTTTAGAGGTTCTTGTTCACACACATACTTGTTCGTACATTTCGTACCTTTCCACTGACACACTACTGTGACATTTATTTTCCTTGTTTGGAAAATACAAGTATCATTGTAAACTTTTTTATTTTTATTTTTGATTACAGCTTGATTCCACACTGTATTTTTGGTACAAGTATGGAATTTTCAGCGTGGATATCGGTAGCCCAAAATTCGCAGGCCGACCATAGATATCAAGTGTGCATCGGCGAGGGCTCGAACCCCGGACCATGTGCATGGTCGACGAGTGTCCTTACCACTAGTGGTCTTCTGATTTCCCTCTTTCCGCGTCAGGACTATTAACTACTCGACGAGTACATAACAGAATGTCCCTCCTATAATTAATAAATATTGTAATGCTTTAAGAAAACTTATCATCATTATATTCTTTTTCACTATGATGTCCTTACAAGAAATCTTACTGGAGGACTGATTCCTGATGATAAATAGAAATGTGTTAAAACTGTAGTATAAACTGTTTTATTAGAATTTATAGGTTAAACGCAGCTGAAGAGAACCGATGAAATATATTGGACCTACGTTATTTTGCGTTAATGTTTTCTTTTCCTCTGTTCAAATAAGCAAAGACACTGGATATATTGATATGTATACACATATATGGGCATATTATCAAAAATAGCGACAGAGACATCAAGGATTACATGCATTACAACTGTTTATCTAGAAGAAGCAACTTGTACATTCATGATTCACTGTAATTCAAAAAAGGCGAATCGACAACTTCATATATAGTTTTCAGTAAATTTCATGTTAAGAAGATTTTTAAAATAAAAGTTCGTTTACAAAGTGATGCTTTAGGATCTATCACCTAGACTTCCTGAGTACATCAGATTTTGTGTAGTTAGTACACTGACATGCAGATTTATCAAATAAGTTATCACAGTTCACTTAAACAAACTGTATGAAATTACGCACATTTGAAGTGCTCGAGTACAAAGAAGAGTCAGCTGACGAGGATCTTAGTTTCTCCACCTGTTTGGTTACATTAACAAGATATATAGAGAAAACAATAGATACTGTGAAAAAAGTGATGTCTGTGTCAGTGTACAAATCCAGATTAGAGAATAACCTATCGTTTCTGTTTTGTATAAGTCTGAAATGCGTCAATAAACATACAGTTTTCTTTAGTAATCCGTGACCAACACATACATATTTGGTTGCATTACTTTGGAAGATGATTAAGGCAGCCATTTTAGCGATTCGTTTAGTCTGCGAAAGACAACTCGGAATACTAGTAATGTTTTCATTGGAACTGCTAAAACTGTAGAGAGTTACAGCTTGAAATAAATTACACATAGGTATTTTTGAAGATTTATGGCTTATATTTCATTTAATTGACTTCATAAAACTGGTAGCATTGTGGTCTTCTAATTTAACTTACAATATGTATTAAGTATTGTTTTGGAAGTGTACATAATTTCAGATAACTCAATTGACTAGACACATTTAGGGGATAAACGCGCTATTCATATTAGATAGGAATTTCGGACAGGGCTACAGAGTTCCACATGCTTTCGGATCAAACCGATGAAAAAAAAACGGATTCAAAATTATAATGCCGTCAGAACTGCAGTAAGTAAAACTAGAAATGCCGGAAAAGCAGTTTATTGCCTTGAAAAATTATAAAAGTATCTCACATTAATTACCAGTCCTCAAACCTCTAAGCATAAGAATTCGAGTTATAAGTGAGTAAAATAAAATAAATGAACCGAAAATAATGCATTTTGCATGTCTCATGAATACACTGTGGAAGTTGAGGGCTATTACAGGTAACATTTTCTAAATGAGTCTCAATAAAGTTTTGTTGCTGAGGTCATTAAGCCCATTTAGTCTCAGTGGTAAATAATTTCAGTCATTTAAGATGATATTATAAAAATGCATTAAAAGCTGTAAACAAAGAAGTTGTAAATTAGTCCCGATAAAAAGTAAAAAAAAATCGTAGATATTTTCATTTGAGAAATCTCAATTCATTGAGATATTCATACAAATCATGAGTACCGTCGAGTGATCTCATGTGCGAAATGCATCCAGGTCAAATTAATCAATAAATTCAAACATAATATTTAACTGATTTCGGTTGACGAATATTAAAACTCTCTTTAAGCATTTCCAAACTGTTTGCCTATTCAATCTTTTTGCTTCTGTTGGCTATGTTTTTATTGCTAGTTAGGAGATCTAACAACATTCTTGTCGTTCCACTTTTCCTTACATTTTTCTCAGGATTTAGTATGTGCGATTTTATCTTCATTTCAACATTCTCATTTATACGCTTTTGCTTTTAGAAGGAGGAATAAACGTTAGATATTCTGCCTACATTTGTAGCGCCATATCGACACACTATAGATACAGAACGAATGAACTATTGTTTGTGTTAAAGAGTTGTAATTTTTGATGAGGACTGATTTGTTTTAAATGTTTTTGCACACTAATAAACAAAACTAAAAGAACAAATTAAAGATTTTTTGAACATTGGATGAGGCTTTTGTCCTACTTAAATGCTAGAAGGACTCAAACTAGGTTGATTCACTTATCCAGTGCTTTTCTATGTGTACTATGTTTATTAACAACAAAAAAGTTTGTCGGTCTTATGAGTTTAGGTATTATCATGCTCTGAGGTTTTGATTGCATAGCTTACAATTGTCCATCCAAATAATACTTTGCAAGCTAATTTTGTAGAGTAATGGGTTTGTGGATTTATCCATGAAAACACAACCCCTCCATATTAACTCGACTGTGTTTGGTATCTCTAAAGATGCCTTCATAATTCTGTTAACGTTTACTGATAGCCGTAATTTCGATGAAATACTACCACTGAAGATGTCATCAACCCTGATGAAGAGACATCTACTGTCAACATAATTCTTATTCTCATTCTGTTATAAAAGTCTTTTTATTATTTGACATTCGGTTTTATTTTATCACACACACAGAGAAACTGGGACTAAATGGACGTGTTGTTTGATACTCTCATATTATTGATGTTAATAAAAAAGTAATCACAAAATTCAGACTTTGATCTACCTAGTGTGTATATCTGTTATTAACTCTAAAGTAACAACTGTCTATAAGTCGTGTTGCAGACCATTAAATAAACTCAATTTACTTGTGTATCTTCATTCTTTCATTGTATACGATAAATGTATCACACTGAACGAATCAAAGGTTTGTAACAAGTTATTTAAATAAAATTAGTTATCATGGTTTATTATTCAGACTAGAATTCCTTTGAGGTAATTCATCAATAACTGACTACTAAGAAATAGTTTTGAATACAGAGCTGCATTCACTTTTAATTCTCTTTATAATGATTCTTTTTGTTCCCAATTCTGTATGAGCCTGAAATGTTCAGAGTAAAAGTTGTTGATGCCACGGATAGACGACAAAATCATGTGATGAAGCTTTTAACCTTTTGGAGTATTAAAAACCACGACTTTGACAAAAGTATGAGGATGTTGGAACTTTGATAATGAGTGACTATACAGTTACAGTTTACGCATTTGTATGTTAAATAAACATCAGAATGTTGAAAGTGAACTCAAGACAGTTACTTATTTTACTCCTAGTTTGCACAAAGATAGAGAAAGTATTGATAGCACTCAGTTTATTCTTCATAAGTACTTCTCAGTGAGAAAGAGAAATAAACATAAATTGCCTAACACACGCACATACCGTCTTCTTATCAGTCTCCAGTCACCTGCTTGTCCAGTCATTTGTCTGACAAATAGATCTATCAGTGGTGCATTGCTATTGATGGGAAGTCTTATTTAAGCACAAACATGTCATTCCTTACTTCATGACCTAACTACGAAGAAATGTTATTTCTCCAATAACTTATAAGTTTACAATGTTTTTCCTTCCATTTTCGTTATAGGGTTTAAAAAAGCTCATTAACAGCATGGGAAATATGAAGATGGTGAATCAATCGCCTAACCAAGTGAATAGTGTGCTGAACAGGAGACGGAACCGATTCATTGCAAAGGTAAAAATGAAAAGTAGATATTATTGCCTTTGTCAGGTGCTAGTGACTGTTATGACGCAAATATTTTTCACCATATTTACGATTGCGATAGTGGAGTCAATGTGAGTCAGATTTCGATAATCAATCCATTTTCATGATGTAGACCTAAAGCGACAATTTATCTCTATGGACAGATCTGGGTGAGCTTTTTCCTTAGGTTAGTGACATTTACTTTCCTAATGCATTTATAATACTCAATATTTTAAAATGGCGATTTCTGGTATTTCAGTGTGAGCTGCGTAGTCTTTATAGTGATTTCCTTGCTATCAGTTGGTCAGTTTTCACTACTTCCATGGTTTCTTCACCTTAACATGCAAATTCAACCATTGAAAACCTGTCACATGTTGGTGAGGTTTGTTTTTCTTGTAGTTTTCTGAATTGTCTATCAGTTTACGGTCTGATTCATAAGGATTGTAGATTCAGCATAATTTTCACTTGTGCATACTCTGAAGCATTTAGTAAATCCTGCTTTTGAAGTCTGCAAGACAACTGAAATTCTATTAGCGAGGTTCGAAGTCAACACCAATCGTTCCAGACACTGATGCATTATCCACTAGGCTACTGATGAGTGACAGGAAGAAGCATGAGTCTTGGATTTCACTTCTAGCCGGAACCAACAAGTTATCGTTATTTTTTTCAGATTCCTATCCAGCGATGCAACTGCTTACAAGAAGTAATTAATTATCATAGGATGATTTTTCAGTTGTATACCTGCTTGCCACCTGTTATTTACAAATTGTTTAGGATTCGGTATTTTTTTGCATAAAACCCAGTTGAATAATTATTGACCATCTTATTCTCAGACCACCCTTTCTAATGTTCAATTCCAACGGAGAAATGAGAAAACGAAATCTGTGTATATAATCAAATTTTAATTGATAAGGAATTTGGATTATTTCAGGGTATATTTGGTCACAGAATGATAATGGTTATAAAACCATTGATAGATAGTTATCTCCGGATAACTGTTTCGACCTAGTTTATGACATCCTAGGTACACAGAGGCAATGAATCATCAGCCGGTATCTTCATCTAAGCTGCGTGGTATCAAAATATGTCATGATTTGTATAGCTGTCAGCTCGTAGTGGTGCGACGTTCACCTCCCAACGGGAGTATTCGGCAGGTGCAATTGATTTCACTAGTCAACATGGAGGTCTCAGTGAGCTTCACTTTGAGTACTGGCAAATGTTTCTGCAGAATGTTTCAAGTTTCTCATTTCGGAAAACTTAATTCCGTGTAAATTCGTTGTCACATGAGACAATAATTTACAAAGCTGTGAAAGATGGCATTTAATTAAATTCTCAATTGCTATTTACAAGGTGCAGTTGAAAGCGTCTTGTATCTTCTGTGTTTTATTGAACAGCGCTGTGTCAATTGGAATTACACTTACGGTTTTCCTCGTAAGAGATCTTCAGCATAAGGAGCCATACAACTACCTACTACTTATCGGCTTCGTAAGTTATGAATACTTTATTCCTCATTTTCTCAGGACTTCGACTTCTTTGTATATGATTTTGGACTTCTTTCTATTAATTATTTGATGTATGATATAAAAGTGAAAGTACTTACTATAATTTCAAATTAGAATTCTGATTATCCATTCCGCTGACTAATTCTACATGCTAGTTAGGTAGTTAAAGTATCAAATGGAGTAAGGAGAATGACAAGAATCACCCAAGGAATAAGTAACATGAAAACATACTTTGTTTGCCACAAACTAATGTGTCTATATGTGTTAAGGTTTAATGATAGTTTTATGAACACATTGCTTTCATATCAGTGGTATTTATACATGACCAACAGATTAGTTCCTATCCATGAACTCACAATACGATATTTGTGGATGTTGAAATTTTCTAATCTTTGGTTTCTGGCACGTACAGCTTTCAGCAGAAATGAATAAATTAAGGAAGTACATTGAATTAATAATAAATAATAAAAATAAATAATTAATAATAAAAATTTTTATACTCAACAGCTGCCAAAACACTTACAAGGGTCTAGATCTTGATACTAGGGACTAAAAATTATTGGTTGAGTTTAAATGCATAATTTAGAGTAAATTGTAGATTTCAGATGCAAAAACGGATGCAGATGTGTGGAAGATGACAACACACCTTAAGCAACTGTTTTGATGAAATTTCATTTGATAGGTTCTTTCTCTTTATTTTGTTGAAGCTTTGATTTGTATTCTGGTCATATTCTTTGGAATATGGAATTAACCCCAAGTTAGGTTTTAACATGAAACCAACTTCCCTTAGACAGCCGCTCAAAAAGCAACGGAGTGCTGGATAAATGTTTCGTTCTACTTCAAAACTACTCAGCAGTTCAAACCCAGGACTATACTAATGACCAAGACTAAGACTTTCAGGTCACTACACTAATACGTTACCATTCAATAACTTAAACATAACGAAATTACAGGTGAGTACTAAATTCGTTGAGGATATTTTCCATAAGCTTTGTAACCAAACCATTGAGCCTATAGAATCCAACAGCATTATAACCGTCCACATGAGCTACAGGTGTTCTTAAGTATATGTGAACATTAAATAAAACAACCGTTATAATGAAACATGTTTTGAAATAAGGAACTTTCAAGCTTCTGACGCACTAAAAATATTTCTGTCACCTTGTTGTTAGAAAACGTCGGGGTAAGAAAATCCTGGTGTTTTAACTCAATGTGGAATATGTTTTAACCATGATCAGTGAGTTCAGTCGACTAAGATTGAAACCTCTGAGAAAGTTTTAATGGGAGGAGACTTTAAAGTACACGTTAAAAATTTACTAAATTCACAAAATTAACTACTTACCATTCAAAGAAATCATATTTTCAATAACATTTTCTATAAATTCTGTCTTGAAGACAATCAGCTTCGATGGAGTGATAACCTGCCTTTCAATTTTTACGCATGGAATGTTCATATTCATAAGTTGGATAATTGCTATCAGTTTATCATTTGTGTCGTATTTATTCGGCCTACAAATTGAAGAAGATTTGACGAAGAGGCTTAATTTATTCGTCATTTATTGTGGATGCGTTATCATTGTTGGATTTATTGTCTGTGGTATTCTGTATGGTCTGCAACTTGATTGGGTAAGTATTGGTTAGTGTATAATCAATAAACTAGGGTAACATGTTTAACTACCTATCGTGGAGATTAATTTTCTTTCCTCCGAATGTATATCAGCAGTAGAAGGGTCCTTGGATGACATCTATAAAAGGTGTAATGAAGTTAAATTTCAATGTCACTCGTTTCTATGTTAATAGTAGTAGAATCCAGATTGTGGATGTCGTCCTGTTTACGATGGTCAGAAGTTTAGAAGATAGTGCTTTGGCATTTCAATTAATGAGACCTGGTTTGGAGTGTTAATGTGAATACCATCATTTATTGGCGAGTAGTTACATCTTGACAACGACTCAAGGTTAGGATGAAACTATATCCTTGGAGTATACCTCTTGCCTTTGCGAAAAAAACTAACTCGTAGTTATTTATCCTGGTAATATAAAGCCAACTAATAAAAGCGTTCATGTACTAAGGTGAATATGATCAGTGCTGTCATATAAATCAAGCGGAAATTATGGTAGAACTCAGGAACCAATGATTATCGGTCCAATTGGCTGAGTGGTAATGGGCTCGATCTCTTAGCCTAAGGGTCCTGGATTAGATCCCTGTTGGGATTGTAGATAGTTACTGCTGAAAAGTTCCAAAGTGGATCCAAACGACTGTACAATGCTCCCTAGTTTTCAGTCATCTTAAAATGATGTTGGTTCGTGACGACGTCTACACTAAGATGATTCGATAATATTAAGCTGAAATTCTTCGTGAGAAACACCGAACGTTTGACGTCTGTTTCTTTCTATATTTATCTTCATACCACAGGAATTTGTAAAGTAAATCAAGATGTGGACTTCTAACAATAGACAAAGTACTAAATAATCTTGATGTACAGACTAAGTATAACATGATTTAGCATTCATCGTTTCAAAATGCACATAATCGTTTATTTCAGGTTGTGCAACATATCATCACACTTTTCGTTCAAGCTATTATTGTTCCCGTAAGTCTAGTCAATATTTGTTTATGTTTTTTCTTTGTTTATTCATCCTATAATATGTTAATAGAAGTACTTCAGGATATTAGAAAAATATGATAAGAAAGAAGTTTAGACGCTTGTACCATAAATTTGTTTCATTGTTAATGACACTGATGGTGCTGCATGAGTATAGCATTATTGAAATGTAAACAACACAACATTCAAATTTCAGAATTTTAATCTGTTCGCAGATGATAGACCTATTTTAGTTAACTTTTACTGATAGACAAAATACATGGAACGCATTGTTTTGGATGTAGTTGTCTTCTCTGTTATGGATGGTTTATTCACGCATTGTTTTGTGCTTCATTCCATTGGATCCTATTTGTTTTACTCGATGGAAGAAGGAAGAACCAGACTATACAGTATACATGGAATTCATCATTATTTACGGTAAAGAAAGAATAACAGTTTTACTCGTGAAGGGAACAGGTTCTCAGATGTAAACCATTGTAAGATTAGTTTCTTGGATTCTTTCAAACCATGTTGAATGATGAATGGAATTCCTGAGTTATTTCAACGAAAACAGCTTGATCATTAACCAGGAAATATTGTTAAAAAGGGCTAACATGAAAAGCTACACTTCATACTTCAGAATTATTAATACCACCACGATGATGATGTATAAATTGCTGTTTGAAAATGTCTGGAAATGCGTCAGAAGTTTAATGTGTCTTTTCGAAAATCGTGGATATTCCTTCTGGTATGTGCTTCGAAGAGAGTACTGAATTAGACAGTAGAAATTAAAGTGTTATGATAATTTATGTGCAAATTTATCCGTCACAGAGTTTTTCTTATTGATATTTTTCCTTATTTTGTAGTTGAGTGTGATTGAATACCAGATGCTCATAGGAAACAGATATATTTCCTACTCTATGAATGATTATATTCTAGCTTCAATATTTCACTGGATACTAGTCACCTTGTGTTATGCAGGATTCATGTTTCAATTTGTCGATGTGTGGTTATAATTTGTCGAGTATAAAGCAATAATATAAGGACATAATAAACCCTGGTATTATGATACATTTTGCTTTTTTACTTGAACAAACCACGGTATCACGTATGTCTTAGTAACCATCTACTGAATTATTAAAGATGTATCATGTAGGGCATTTCGCAGAGTTACAACATGTAGAGGTGGTGTAGATAAACCAAAATTATTTCGGCCTTGAAACGTATCACTTGCTATCGAATGTGTCAGCAGCTGTCAAGCCTAGTTGATGAAACATTCATTCGAACAGATGATAGGCAGATCAAACGTGTGACATAACACAATTATAAACATTGAGAGAGTTGATTAGGATGAGTTAGGTGTCTCTGTTGGTATGCGTTTCAGTGTAGGCGATTGAAAAGCCTCACATCCTTTGATGAGAGTGACTTGTGACTTTGTCGAATCAGACTTTTATTCGGATAGATAGAAAGTGAATATGAGTTATCCTGGGGAGAATGAATGGCTCTTCTTGCAGAATTTAATGTTTTCAACTAATGTATCTGTAGTCAAATCTGGACAAATATGCGCCATCTTCTGCATGATAACATGTACATTCATCAGTCTATTTCTAATGAGATCTAAGGAAAGTTAAATATCTAATTATCGGAACAATGAGCAGGGAAGTTTTCCATCAGTCAATAGAAAAAACACGTTAACATGTTTAGATTTCATCATTTCGGTAGTAAAATTGAAATAAGACGTCGACACTGCAGCGTTTATGATATATTCACTAATGAATCCGATGAGAAATCACAGTAGCAATAAAATGATTATATGGACATTTTGGACACTTTTTACCTTAAAATATGTATTCAACTAAAGACAATAGTAGCACAATAGAACGTCGGTTTTTGCATTGAAAGCACTGGTTGAAGCATTTGTTCAATGTTGACTTCAACAGAGAACAGAGAAAAATGCTTTTAATTAGTGACCAGACTGACATCACCTAGGTTACTGGATGAGCGCACATTATGGCATAAGTTTTGTAGCTTTTGAACTCTTGGTTAGCTAGCCGTGTGAGCAAATCCTTCTCCGAGAATTCTACTGGAATTCAAATTCATCGTTGCAGGTTCTTCACTGGTAATTTTAGCCATCTGTAATTGTGGTGATCTGAAGCAATTTTTAAGATAATTCAAGAACATGATAACAGTCTGTTAGTTAAAATGTTTCGTACGTTTTCTTATTGCTATAGACAGAATATAAATAATTAGCCATCTATAGCAAATATTATGCATTTGTTGCTTATCTAACTATCCGACAACATGTAAGGTCGTTTAGTAATTTTTACCTTAGTTTTTCAACATGCAGAGAAGGCGATTCAAGAAACTCCTTAATATGACTGCTTACCTATAATGACTTCTTGCAAAGTAAATCAAAACACCTACTTGAAAAATCTGATAACCGAAGTGAAGACAGACTTTCAAAAGTTATACTTCGGACAAGCCTAGAATGATGACAATGTGGGACTACTTTGAACAGTTTTGGTGACAAACTGTTAAATATTATTGTCAATAGACTAAACATCTGTCTAACTGTCTAAGGTTTACGACCATTCATATCGTCTTTAGTGACACTTTTAACATCAATGGACATTGAACTTGCAACACTGTTCTCCCCTGAATTTGAAACAAGTGAACTTTGATGATATATATTAATTAGCATAAAGAGACTGATCGCCAGTGAACGAAAATAAGCCAAGGTCACCTGAAGGAGGAGGAGAAATAAATCGATCAGTCTATGAAGCTACATCGACTGAGATTGTTAGGACATGTGTTACATATGCCTAACCAACGCCTTCCTCAACGGGCAATGTTAGCTGATGTAGAATCAGGTGGGAGAAGAGCTAGCGGCGGTCAAACCAAAACATGGCACCAGTCTATGAAATCTACAAAAGTTAGTCTAAGCCACGTAGAAAGGAGTAGACTTAGAGGTTGGTGTCCTTGGGACGGTAAAATCCAATGGTTGGAAACAGTTGGTGATATAAACGAAAATACCCATTGAGTCATGAAGAAAATTAAAGACAGATTCAGCAAAGAAAATTTTCTTTATCGACAAAATCATCAGAGGCTGTACAGTCGTATTCATACCTAGAAAAATACATAGTGGTCTATTATTGAGTAATAGGGGGTGACATAATTGATATAATTAATCATAAGTGGCTTTAGAAGTGAAAATCAAAAGTTGTAAATTACGTGGTACTCAATGGCACAAAGATAGAAATTTGATAAGGTTAAAATTCCTCCTGAGTGAGAATAAAGGTATTTCAGTGTCAATATAACAAGTGTGAAGAGGGTGTGAAAATATACAAAAGGAGCATATGAAATTGATAATAGTGAATTAATTATTAAAGCAAAAGCAAACTAAAAGTAAAATTAAAAATTAAAACAACAAAAGAAAAAATCAAAATTTTTTACAGGGAACGATTAGTGAAGAGGTTATGACCAAGGTAGAATAAGAGACTGGACAAACGTTTTCTGCATACAGAGTTCAGGGTTGTATTGCCACCTCAATGTGTATTTATAAATTCACCTGCTCGTGTGGAGCTAGTTATATTGGCCGCACAAAGCGCACGCTTTCCAAACGCATCTCTGAACATTATCCGGCATGGTTAGCAAAGGGACAATGCAAGAAACTTACTAGCTCAATTCTCGAGCATTTGGTGAACTCAGGCCACGTAGCTCCCCACCAGAGTCGTCTTTCAACCTCATCTACAAAGTGAAGTCAAATTGTACAAAGGGCGTCAGGTTTCGGCTTTTGTGTATCGCGGAGGCACCGGTAATTCATCAATACGACCCTGAACTCTGTATGCAGAAAACGTTTGTCCAGTCTCTTATTCTACCTTGGTCATAACCTCTTCACTAATCGTTCCCTGTAAAATATTTTGATTTTTACTTTTGTTGTTTTAATTTTTAATTTTACTTTTAGTTTGCTTTTGCTTTAATAATTAATTCACTATTATCAATTTCATATGCTCCTTTTGTATATTTTCACACCCTCTTCACACTTGTTATATTGACACTGAAATACCTTTATTCTCACTCAGGAGGAATTTTAACCTTATCAAATTTCTATCTTTGTGCCATTGAGTACCACGTAATTTACAACTTTTGATTTTCACTTCTAAAGCCACTTATGATTAATTATATCAATTATGTCACCCCCTATTACTCAATAATAGACCACTATGTATTTTTCTAGGTATGAATACGACTGTACAGCCTCTGATGATTTTGTCGATAAAGAAAATTTTCTTTGCTGAATCTGTCTTTAATTTTCTTCATGACTTAATTGGTGATATGGCTCAAAATCGTTCTCAATGGCGCAGATTCATCCACTCAATGTGACTTATGATTCCCAATGAAACTATATTGTTTTTCGTTATTACTATTCCTTTGTCTCACACCACTGTTTACTGTCTCTATTATGCATTTCTTCGACTTTCTTCTCTTGCTTTGTGTGCTACAAGGAAGGAGTATGGCAACTCGAACTGCCGCACATATGTGCAAAGTTCCATGTCGAAAACAGACAAACGGACAGAAGGAGGATCAAGTGACCATAATATTTGGAACTGCTTGTACCTAACATTAATGAACTTATTTTCCCGCCTAACGTCTACACAATGCTGAGAGGTAGAATTTAAGTGGTTGTTTCATGGATTCATTAGATGATGTGAGGCTAGAAAATTAGTACATTATTACATAATATGAAACAAGAAGGATAATCATCAATTATTTTGAGTTTACGAAAACTGTTTTAAGTTGCTTCAAAATTCTTGGCGTACTATTGTTACTTTTGTGTATGCTTTTTATTTTTGCACGTATTTAGGCAATTCGACAGAAATGATTCCAAATAGTTTAGATAACGACTAGATGAATGAGGAAATGTGACTGAAAAAGTAGAATGGATTAAAGTGTCATAGGTCTACATGAATTAAAATTCTTTTGAGAAGGATCAGTGTAAGGAAAGAATTGAATAACAACTGAATAAAACAACGACAGAAATATGAATGATAATGCAAGTGAACCTGATATGAAATGAGAACCAAACATGCGTTCCGACTCTTGTGTCGCTAACAACTGCCCAATACGCAGAAGGAGCTAAAAAAGGAATGAAATTTTGCCATAATTAGTATAATGTTCAGAAAACCTTAAAGGAATTCATAATAGTACTGCAGTGAAATACAAACTACCTTCAATTAATTACAAAAAATATTTCCGTATTATATCATTTAATCTTTGAGTTCCGAGTGGAACATGGGGCTTATATGAAACTTCCCCGATACCTTCGGTTTTGTATATCATAGTCAGTTTACTTCAGAATTGCCGAGCTGCTTTCATTTCTTCTTTACATGATCTCTAGCATATCAGCGTCGTAAGCGTGACTTGCAGTCCCCATCCAGTGGTTTTCACCTGAGTCCCAAGCCTTTAGTGTAACTCAACGGTTTCCTCAAAGTTTGTCCAGACAACATAAATATCCTTTTTCATATTTGTTGGTAGTAGGTTCCTTGCTGGTGGGCTGTCAGAGTTTCGTGTTGTTTATCCTTTTCAACCAGCATAGCGTGGAGGAAAAGCAGCTATTCATAGGATTTTCTAACCTGCTGGAAATGTTTCGGTGACTTATGAGAAGTCTGTGTTCAGTGTAGAAGACTTGGCATGAAATATATTGCAAGTTCAAGTCCTCTTCCTTGTTCGGAATTCTGCAAATCTGTACATTTATTTGAATGAAACAAACACCTGTCTCGATTATCAGGTCATGGCTTCTATGAAATAGTTTGAGTGAGTACGTATTTCAAATAATCATATGAACCGTGTGTGCTAGCCACTGACATCACTGAAGACAATGACTTGGTCGTGAGAAACACGGAAGCCAAATAAAGAGGAATATGTATCCTGGATTCCAGTCATCATCAGTCAAACAATATTATGTTGCAAACTGTTGAGAAACCTAATACATCTATTGCAGCAATGGCCACAGATGAGTGAAACTTGGTGCATATAACTAAACAAGAAGTGTAGATACCTCATTTATACCCCTTTTGAGCATTTATTCATAATGAAATCCGATATTCAAAGTCCACATCACAGTGTCACTAAAGGATGTACATCATCTTTGAAAATCACACAAGAAGAAATTGTTCACCTGTGTATATTTAATCATAATATATTCTGTTTCCTAGGGAGACGTAATCTAG